TCTGGAAGAAAAAGGAACTTTAAGAAGTTCTGGGAATGGAGGGAAAGGAGGTGCTAGTGTGGGTCTGAGGCACAGAATACACAGTGTCCATGGTGGGAGGGCTGTGGTATTGGGGGGTCAGAGGAGAAAACCCTGGGAGTTAGCAGAGGGACTGAGGGTGCTCTGGTGACCCAGTGGTTAAGAATCTGCCGGCCAGCGTGGGACACGCGTGCAATCCCAGGCCCAGGAAGATTCCACAGGCTGTAGGGTAACTAAGCTTGTGTGTCACGAGTTCTGAGCCTGTGCTCTGCAACAAGAGAAGTCACTGCAGTGAGAAGCCCACGCTGCAACTAGCAGGTAGCCCCTGCTCAACTAGAGAAAGCCTGTGAAGCAACAAAGACCCAGAGCAGCCAAAAATCAATCAGATTTTTTTTTTTAAAGAGGGACTTACCTGGCAGTCCAGTGGTTAAGACTCTGGACTTCCAATGCAGGGGGCACGGGTTCAATTCCTGGTCGGGGAACTAAGATCCCACATGCTGTACAGTATGGCCAAAACAAATAAGTAAGAAAGAAAAGAAATTGTTGTGGGATAGCTGCTTAACCACCAGAGAAAGTTGATATTAGATCGATAGCTGATTCCGTAAGTAAAAGTAATCTCAAATGGATCGAGAATCTAAAAGTAAAATATTCAAGATATAATTACTAGGGGAAAAATAGGTGAATTCCTCTATAACCAGAATTTAGACAAAGGGTTCTAACTATGACTCAAGTCCAGATGTGATAAAAGTAGGTGAGGAAAATTGATTGCATGAAAATAAAAATCTTTTACACGGCCATAAGTATATAAATAGATGGTAGATAAAAGACAATTCAAACTCTAAAATTGAGGGGGAGAATACATCAAAACTGAGAGGGAAAAAATGGACAAAATCATGAACAGATAATTCACATCAAATAATAATAGCCCATAAATATATGAAAAGAAATCTAGTTGTCATTCATTATTTGAAAGTTAGAGTGACAGATTTTATTTTCTTGGGCTCCAAAAATCACTGCAGATGGTGACTGCAGCCACAAAATTGAAAAATATTTGCTCCTTGGAAGAAAAGTTACGACAAAGATGGCTGCATTACAAAGAATTGATGCTTTCGAACTGTGGTGCTGGAGGAATACTCTTGAGAGTCCCTTGGACTGTAAGGAGATCAAACCAGTTAGTCCTAAAGAAAATCAACCCTGAATACTCATTGGAAGGACTGATGCTGAAGCTGAAGTTCCAATACTTTGGCCACCTGATTCGAAGAACTGACTCACTGGAAAAGACCCTGAAGATGGGAAAGATTGACAGCAGGAGAAGAGGGTGACGGAAGATGAGATGGTTGGATGGCATCACCGACCCAATAAACATGAGTTTGAGCCGACTTCAGGAGATAGTGAAGGGCAGGGAAGCCTGGTGTGCTGCAGTCCACAGGGTCGTCAAGAGTTGGACACAAGTGAGCAACTGAACAACAACAAAGGGAGAAAATAGTAAGCCTCAAAGAGAGCCAACTAATTCCAAGTAAAGTTCATGCCAGAAATAAAAGCTAACACCACACTTACAGGAATAAAACAATCCAACAGTGTAAATTCACAATTTTCTGACATCCAGAAAAAAAAATTGTCAGCCATTCAAAGACTGAAAAAAATTTGAATATTACTGATCTTTGGGGCAATGCTTCCCAGGTGGCACGAGTGATAAAGAACCCACTTGTCAATACAGGAGACACTACAGACGCTGGTTTGATCCTTGGGTTGGGAAGATCCCCTGGAGAAAGGCAAGGCAACCCACTCCAGTATTCTTGCCTGGAGAATCCTATGGACAGAGGAGCCTGGTGGGCTACAGTCCAGAGGGTCGCAAAGAGTCGGACATGACTAAAATGTCCGCCTTTGTCGGACTGTGTGTCAGACTGGGTGTCTGTGTGTCAGGAGAGGAGGGGCAACAAAAAATTGACAAAACAATTGCCAAATTTTTTCCAAATTTTATTAAGGCAATAAAACTTTCAAGAAGGTTAATGAACCCCAAATAGAATAAACACAAAATTCAAAACTACATAAAACCAATAATTATATTATTTAAGAATACATATATAGTAAGAACAACAAAGAAAAGCAAAGACAAGATCAACCAAAATTCAGGATAGGATGAGGGATGTAACCAGAGAGGGGAACTCAAAAGCCTTCAAATGTATTAGTTTGTTCTTTTTCTCAAGTGTCATAAAAGCAAATACGTGTTTTTTTAAATTATTATTTAAATTGTATATATTATATATATATAAGTTTTTGCACATATTACATATCAAAATAAAAATAAATGATTGTCATCCAGTTCTCTTTCTGCGTTACTTATAACGCAAGCCAGAAACCTGGGTGTCATCTTTGACCACTCCCTTACCAACCAAATTCAGTTTCACCAGGGTTAATTTTCTCTTCTAAATCTACTACCCTCCACCTCTATTTCTATAACCTGGTCCAATCTACCTTCCACTCTCACCTGGAGTACAAAATCGCTCCCTCTTTTTTAAGTCAAACCATTTTTGAATGTGATTAACTCCTGTCTCTCTTGAGCTTGAATCTATTAATCTGGCCTCACTGCTATTTGAAGCAGAGATAACTTATTTGCTCAAGGGCTTCCCTGGTGACTCAGATAGTGAAGAATCTGCCTGCAATGCAGGAGACCTGTGTTCGATCCCTGGGTTGGGAAGATCCCCTAGAGAAGGGAACTGCAACACACTCCAGTATTCTTGCCTGGAGAATTCCACGGACAGAGGAGCCTGGCAGGCTACAGTCTATGGGGTTGCAAAGAGATGGACACAACTGAGTCACACACACACACAAACACACACACAGTTAGGGAATGGCAAAAGCAGGATTCAAACCTATACTTACTTGAGAGCCTACAGTGTCTTACCCATCCGTTATCCTGCCTTGTGTTGAAACCAAGATAACATTGGGAGATGCTTAGCCATGCCTGCCATAGAGTAATCAGTGGATACAAAGGGTAGATTTATTTCTTCTCCAATCCTTTCACCTCCTTTATCTCCCTAACTCCTCCTTAATCCTTAACTCTGAGAACAAACTACACTTCCTGTGGAATGCCTTCCTAACTCCTTTGGCTTAGTATAAAGTGAAAGTGAAGTTGCTCAGTCGTGTCCAACTCTTTGCAACCCCGTGGACTGTAGCCTACCAGGCTCCTCCATCCACGGGATTTTCCAGGCAAGAGTACTGGAGTGGGTTGCAATTTCCTTCTCCAAGGGATCTTCCCCACCCAGGGATTGAAACCGGGTCTCCCGCACTGTAGGTAGACCTTCACTGTCTGAGCCACCAGAGTAGTCCTTGGCCTTGTATAGTCATCTTCAGATACTTGTCCTCACAGCATGCTGTACATTTCCTACATCCCTCCTCTATGAGGTTGTGACCTCCAAGGGATAGAGGCCTGCTTTCCCCATGATTGCAGCATACATGGCACTCTCTCGCCCACGCTGGTTCCTACCTGCTCCCATTCTTCAGTGAAAGTGATGGGTCACCAACAGATCTCTCTTGCATCCCAACAAGCAACCTGGCTTACTGACCCTACCAGCAGGGCTGCCAATAGAGACCAGCCCTGGCCCACTGAGTCTGGGATGCCCCAATCCATGGAGGGGACCCAGTGCTCAGGTGGAAGGGACTTCAGATACCTAAGACTCCTGTCCCTGGGGCCAGAAATTGGTCACAAAAGATTGCCCTCTGCCCCCATTTTTAAAAATCAGATCCATTACCCTGGCTCACAATTGGGGTGGAAGCCACTAGGATGCCAGGCCAAGATATCAGGGGGTCACTTAGGAAACAGATCAAGCTGTCCTGCAGGACAGGGTCAGGGTGGAAGGGGGAGAGGCAGGCACAACCAAGGCCATGAGAACACCCTCAGATGCCCAGAAGAAGGCTGAGTCCACAGAGGTTTGACTCTTCTCCTTAGCAGCATGGAGCACTTTCAGAACTTTCGTCCATGATCTTTCTGCCCTCCAGCAAGGCACTGTTATTCTCTGAGTTCTTACTGTCCAGCACAGAGCATGATCAAAGGTAGACATCCAGGAAATGGGAGACCCAACTAGCCCCCATAAACCCTTTAGGTCAGGGTGATTCAGGCACCTCTTTGAGAAGTCTTTCTTCCCTGACTCATCCTTTCGTTTTTCTCTGTGCCCCTCACTATGAGTTGTTCCTCACAGCTGTGGTGCTGTCTGTATTGTGGGTTCTTTCAAGATCATATTCTGAATGAAAGGAAGCTTGCAGGTTGACTCTCCTCAGAGCAGATTATCAGATCCAGCTTCCTTCTGCTTGGAATTCTCTTCTTTTATCTGATGGATTTATTTCAACACTAAGGGGTTACTAGATGTTACATACCCTCGCTTACTGAGCTCAAGGGTCACCTCCTCCAGAAAGTCTTTGACCTTCCCCCTTCAGGTATTCCTCCTCTCCATGGCCATTGCACCAAGGTGGATCTCTTAGCTCCTAAACCAAGATGGTCCCTGGGCCACAAGAACCAGACTTGAAATAAAAAGGGAAAAAAAAAAAAAAAAGAATCAGACTTGACTCATTTTACTGTGGCCATCTCCTGGCAGTGCTGGGCCCAGGAGATACCTGTAGAAGATACCACTTCTAAGGTAAGTGATCCACCTCTGAAGTGGACAGCTCCTGATTGGGATCCCAGCTCTGCTACTTGAAAACTTAGACCAGTTCCTATTAGTTTGCTGGTCAGTAAAACAGCCAGCTGAGGTCCAGAAACGAGGTTCTGAACTAACTGTGGTTGAGTTGCCAGGGGAGTCATTATGCCCTTAACCCCAGGGAAGGGGCAGGGCAGAACAGGCCCTGTGATAGCTGATATTTAGGAGTCCAGGTACCTGGGCTTGGTGGGGGGCAAAGGGGAACTTACAGTGGGGTTCATCCTTCTGTGTTCCAGTCTAATGTCCTCCACCTGCAAGTCACCTAGAAAACAGAGCCTGGAACATGAATAAGTATCAATGTTTTATTTGGGTGACAAAAACCCAGGGCATTGAGGATAAGAAAAGGGACACAAGGTAAGGAAGAATGGGAGGTAATGCAAGGTGACAGCACACTGAGTCTGCTTCATGACAAGCCTGGAAGAGGCACAGAGCTGTGCGCACTGGTACCTGGGAGGTCTCCCCACTGGGAGAAGTGGTCTCCCTACTGGGAGAAATCTTGCACCAGTTCAGGGAAGGGAGAGAAGAAGAGGGAATTTATCTGCCGGGATTTCTCCCAACTCCCAGTAGTCAAACCCTACGCCTGGAACATTAGCTCTTCTACACTCCTTGGTTGCTCGTGGCTACTTGAGATGTCAGATCCCATGTTCTGTGGGGAGCATTTCATCCAAGTCTGGAAATGATGAGAAGAGACAAACTGGACATGTGGCTAGTGAGTGCCAGAGAGCATCTGACATTGTACATAAGACGTGTTCACACAGCATGATACTGTTTTTCTCATTTATCAGAAGAGGAAACCTGACACAATGGGCAAAAACCATTCCCAAGGTCACATGGCTAGTAAGTGGTAAATTCAGGATTTGAACATAGTCTGGCTCTGGAAACTGTCAAAGACCAAGATAAGGAACTTGGATTTTGTGTTGCAGGCAAAGGAGAGTCTCTAAAGGGTTTCAAGCTGGGAGTGACATAAGATAAAGAGCTTTTGAATAAAGCTCCCATTTTTCACTGTGCTCCATCTTCTCATGTGGCTGAACTTGGCACAAGTAGGTGGCCCCAGAGATGTGAGGACATCCAACACAGTTTCTGAGGAGCCCTGACTGGGTCCAGAGCTCATATGACCTTCACCATTGCCTCATAATCTTAGTGTCTTCATCAAAGCCTACATCCACCAAAGAGACTAGCTGGTCAGAGGCACACAGGATCTGGATGGAGAAGCCAAAATGAGGGGATGAGCAGATTGACCTAAAGACCAGGAGTAGGAGGAGGACCAGCCATACATCCATTGTCAGCCGGTGGGTCTGGAGATCTTGGCATCCGTATATGAGTCCTTCGGTGTTGCCTGAGATGGTCAGATCTCATGAACTGTCGGCCACACTGGTCACATTTATGTGGTCGATGTTTGGTGTGTATCCGAGTATGTCTTCCAAGTTCATCAGAACGGAAGAAGGACCAGGTACAGGCTTCCCACGTGCATTTATAGGGTCGTTCACCTGGGGAATGACAAGGGAGAGGAGGGACTGAGAGGAACAGGCTAGCAGGTGGGAAGAAAGGGGTCTGACTTGATGAAGCACAGCCGTCAATGTTGAGGAATCAGAAGGGAAAATGTAGGAAAGCAGTGAGGAGATGGAATAACTAGCAGTCTCCATCATCTCAGCACAGACATACCAGACTGTGGGAAAGCATGTCAGTGGGGCCAACAGAGCTTGATCTCAAGCTTTAAGGATGACAGGCTAATTCCAAACCATTACAAACCAGGGGTCCCCCACAAATCTAAAACCCAGAGATTTCTCCACCCACCTCACATGTCTGATACTTCATTTACCTGTGTGTTTGCGTTGGTGACTCACGAGGTGGGAGCGCTTAGTGTAAGCTTTTTCACAGTTCTCATAGTCGCAGCGGTAAGGCCTTGAAACTGGGGATCTCCGTCTGGGAGCCTTTTCCTGGGTCCCGGAGTACTGCTGCTCTGCTCTTTGCTGAGCAGGTATGGGCTGCCTAGGTAGGAAGGGGTCTTCCTGGGAGACTGGCTGGTTCACAAAGGAGCCCTGGGATTCCAAAGCCAGCAATAATGGAGATCCATCTGGGGGCATCCCAAAGTTGTGGGGCTGTCTAGGAGGCAACATCTGAGCTATAGAAGGGAGCGTTGCTTGGGCCTCAGTGGAAGACACGGTTGGATTTAATAATGTTTTAGGTGGTAAAGGGTCTCTGTTAGAAGCTACTGATGGGAGGCCAGGATATGACATTGTTCGCATTCTGATGTGGGACATCATTGGGATTCCACTGGGAGGTGAGGTTGGTGGCCCACTGAGGGGCATCCTTAGATTCCCACCAAAGGTCATGGCCATCCCTGGAATATTGGGCTCTTCTAAGGGCATCACCTGGGGTTCCTTGAAAATCATCATTCCTGGCTGCGAAGGAGACATTCCTTGAGTGAAAGTCATCTGGGCAGGGGTGAAAGTCAGCTGGGGGCAGTAGCTCACACAGTGGTCAGGCAGTGCCATACTGAACTGTGGCCCCATTTCACTGGCATTCTGCCTGGGTGCCTCAGCAGAAGCCAATGGGATCCTCTGCAGCTCTGTGCACTGAGGGATGTGTTGAATGCCTAATGGACTATGGTTCCAAGAGGTGTGCATTCCACTGCTTCCAGGGGATGAAGACATGTTCAAGATGGACATTGACTTCTCAGCATCCTTGGAGAAAGAAAGTCAGAAAGAAAAATTCACCATAGCTTAAACCACACTTCCACATGTCCCCATTTCCAGACCCCACCTTAATCCAAGCCCTCATCATCTCTTGTCTGAATTATCCCACCTTCAGGCCAATCTCCAGTTTGGGTTTTCAAAATGCAAGTCTGGGGGACTTCCCTGGTAGTCCAGTAGTTAAGACTCATTGCTTACACTGCACGGAGCTTGGGTTCGATCCCTGTTCAGGAAACTAAGATCCCACATGCCACACAGTGTGGCAAATAAATAAGTAAAATGCCAGTCTGGCTGACAGAAGCATGGTGGAAGTGACTCATGCCCCTCTACCTGCTTGGCATGCTTTTAGTTTTATTTCATAAAAAGTATAAAGAGCAAGTAAAATATTCCACAGTCTATACTTTCAGCTAAGACTCTCGAGAAAACTCTGAAATTCCAGATTATGCTTAAGTGTGAGGGTGAAAGATCATCCCAAACTAGCAGAACAGGTTCAGAAAACCATAAAGATAAGAAGAATGGAGGGTTCAGATAGGTCTTGGCTTTGGCAAAACTTAGAAACCATTCACAAATATTTACCTACAGAAGAGGCTCTCAGGAATTCCTTGGTGGTCCAGTGGTTAAGAATCCGCCTGCCAATGCAGGGGACACAGGTTGGATCCCTGGTCCAGGAAGATCCCATACGCTGCAGAGCAAGTAAACCTGTGTGCCACAACTACTGAGCCCACGCTCCTAAAGCCCACGCTCCAGCAGAAGTCACTGCAGTGAGGAGCCCGCGCACCACAACTACAGAGAGACTGTGCCGCAACAAAGACCACCACAACCGAAAATAAATTTTAAAATTTTAGAGGTACTAGTTTAGGGGAAAAAAAGAGGCTCTCATCTGAGTAGGAATGCAGTGGTTAAATCTGAGATCAAGCATTGGAGGAAGTAAAGAAAAGGGGAAGACTTTTAAGAGCACTTTTTAAAAGGGTGGGCGATTGTCTTGGAAGTCAAGGGCAATATTCCTTGACTGATATTAAGGGAAAAGAGAAGAGATTGGTGGGTGGTAGAATTTCTTGAAACAGGACAGGATCCATGAATCATTTTTTGAAGTTGTCAATTACTGTTGCAATAGAGAGAGCGCTTGAGCTGAGAAACTGGGAACACAACCCCAGTAATCTCTCCAGAAAAGACCAGTCCATTCAAATATGAAAACCAAAACATGAGTAAAATACAGTATCCACAGAAGACACGAAAACACCAAAACAGAAATTGAAGATTCTAATTTCTCAAAAGAGAAAGAAAATTCACCAGAAAAGTGTTGTTGAAGATCAAGGAAAAATTAACAACATTCAAACACAAATTTTAAAAAGGAAAACAAAACTTAAGAAAGCAATTGCAGCTTTTACCAATTACAGGAACACCACATGGTAGACAGAGGAATTCAAAGAAGTTATGTCCAGACAATAGGCTATGAGTAATAATAGAGGGGAGGGAGGTAAGGAGACAATGATAAGGGAAACCGAAGGGGCTTCCGTGGTTCTTGGAACAATGTTTCAAAGGTCTTTATTCTGTAATAATCTGTTAAACTGTGTACTTACATTCACACTTTTGTTTGAGTGCTGTTTATCACAATAAAAAGGTTTTAACATAATACTCTGAGAAATCTGGATTTTCAGCATAAGTGAAATTATAAAATCAGAAACAAAAATAATGCTATATTGAAATAGGAAATATTTTATACAAGCACAAATCCCTCACGCTCAGATTTTTGCCTTCAATTCCATTCCTTACTAAAAGGAAGAGTCAGGAGAATTTCCTGACTCCAAGTCTGGAGCAAGGAATGAATAAATGAACCTGGTGCTTCTTATTGTGCCAGAAAATAAGGGAACTTCCCAAGACAATTAGGACTGAGTAAAACGGACACAGCCGAAGCGACACCAGGGAAGATAGTAGAGTAGGAAGCACGGGGAGTTCCCATCTCTGACTGCAGGGTTTGCCTGATGTAATTACTTTGGAACAATGGAGTCTATTAAATGCTTGTGACTTCAAAGGAAGGTGTGAGAGGTAGGCTGCAGTTAATTTCAGTCAGTTTCAGCTCTTAGGTAGTTAGAGGCTACCCCCAAACATCCTGGGTCCCATACAAGGAAGCTGTGCACACGTTTCTGGAGCAGCCTGCCTCAACTTGTGGGAACCAGAGTGGGCAATGAAAACTTTGTGCTCCAAATAACGGGTAATCTGTGTTCTCATCGCTAACTGCTGCTTCTGCCCGTGAGGTGCAGAAAGAGGTGGGAAGCCACTGTTGCAACACCCACTGCAATCATCACAAACCTCTTCCTCCAAATGCCGAACCTACAGGGTATTTAAAAGGACTGGCACCGATTTCTCTCTCTCTGGCCACGTTGCATGGCTTGCAGGATCTTAGTTCCCAGACCAGATATGGAAACTGTGCCCCCTGCAGTGGAAGCAGAGTCTTAACCAGTGGACTACCAGAGAAGTACCTGGCATCTGTTTCTATCTCCCTTCATTTTTCCCTTTTTCACCTTTTGGGAACCATACATTTAAGAACTAGTATACTCTTACACAAAAATAAACTCAAAATGGATTAAAGATCTAAATGTAAGACCAGAAACTATCAAACTCCTAGAGGAGAACATAGGCAAAACACTCTCCGAAAGGTCACAAACCTCTCCCCCTCCAAATGACAGAACCCACAGGGTATTTCAAAGGACTGGCACCTGTTTCTCTCTCTCTCTCTCTCTCTCTCTCTCTCTCTCTCTCTCTCTCTGGTCATGTAGCACAGCTTGCGGGATCTTAGTTCCCAGACCAGAGATGGAAACTCTTCCCCCTGCAGTGGAGACACAGAGTCTTAACCAGTGGACCTCCAGGGAAGCCCCTGGCATCTGTTTCTTTCTCCCTTCATTTTTCCCTTTTTCACCTTTTGGGAACCATACCTTTAAGAACTAGTATACTCAAAAGCTTCTCAGGTGGCTCAGTGGGTTAAGAATCTGCCTGCAATATAGGAAACACAGGAGACAGGGTTCAGTCCCTGGGTCGGGAAGATACCCTAGAGGAGGAAATGGCAACCTGCTCCAGTATTCTTGCCTGGAGAATCCAATGGACAGAGGAGCCTGGTCTGCTACAGCCCTTGGCATCACAAAAAGTCAGACATGACTGAAGTGACTGAGCACACACACACACAAACACACACACGTACTAAAAATCAACCATATATATAGGAAATTTAGAATGTCACCATACATATGTAAGAAAAGATCCAGACTCATAAAATATCTGGGAAACCTTAAGCTTACCTCTCAGGCTGATGCTGCCACAGAGACAACATACACCAATTTAAATAAATTATACAAAAAAATAAATAAATAAACTATAAACAAAATCAGTAAACCCTGAGGAAGAGGAAGAATTTGATTTCCAGAGTTCCTACATCATAAGATTCAAATGTCCTACTTTCAACAACAAAAAACTCATGAGTAATAAAAGGACAGGAATGCTATGACCCATTCAAAGGGGAAAAAAATAAACTAATGTCTAAGAAAGACCAGATGGTGAACTTCCTACACCAAGAATTTAAAACAACTGTCTGTCTTAAAGATGCTCAAAGAGCTAAAAGAAGATGTGAACAAAGTCACAAAACTGATGTATGAACAAAATGGTAATTTTGATAAAGAGAAAGAAAACCTAAAAATAAACTAAAAAGAAATTTTGGAGCTTAAAAATATAACTAAAATAAAACTGACTGGAGGGATTCAAAAGCAGATTTGAGTAGTCAGAAGAATCAGCTACTTTGAAGATAGGACAATTGAAATTGTCAAGTTGAGGAACAAGAAGAAAACAAGATTGAAGAAAACTGAAATGAACGCTTAAATGACCTGTGGGACAACATCAAGCAGATCAACATATGCATTGTGGGAATCCTAGAAGAGAGAGAGTAAGGAGCAGAGAGACTGCTTTAAAAAATAATGGGTGAAAAAATCTCAAATGTGATGAAAGACATGCATATAGCCCTATAAAGAGCTCAGTGAACTTCAAGTAGGATAAAATCAATCAAGGAAATCCACACTGAGGCACATTATAATCAAACTGTCTAAAGACAAAGAGAATCTTGAGAGCAGTAAGAAAGTAACTCATCACTCATACAAAAGATCCCAGATAAGATTCTTAACAGATTTCTCATTAGAAACATTGGATGCCAAAAGGCAATGGGTTGATATATAAAAAATGCTGAAAGAAACTGTCTAACCACAAATCTCACAACTGGCAAAACTGTCCTTCAAATATGAAGGAGATAATAAGTCATTCCCAGATAAATGCTGGGAGAGTTTATTACCATTAGAGCTTCTTTTGCTCTAATGAGGTGACTCTTGGTGACCTTCTGGATAGGGGCTGGTCACCAGAAAGACTAAGCCATCATTAGAAGCTTGGACTTTGGGGCCCTACCCCTCATTCTCCAGAGACAAGAGAGGGCCTAGAAAATGAATTAATAATTGATGATGTCTACATGATCAAGTCTCCATAAAAATCCCCAAAGTACAGAGCTCAGAGAGCTTCTGGGTTGTTGAACATATGGA